CCTCACTCCTCTTCATCAGCGCCGGTATGAATCAATTCAAACCCATATTTCTGGACACACTATCGCCAACTGATCCCATGAATGGATACGTGCGGTGCGTGAACTCCCAGAAGTGCATCCGTGTCGGCGGTAAGCACTGCGATCTCAGTGCCGTTGGAACCGATGGCAGACACCACACATTCTTCGAGATGTTGGGCAACTGGTCTTTCGGTGACTATTATAAAGTAATTCAATTGTCACAACATTTGGACATTTATTTGAGTGTTTGTTTTACACCACCAGAAAGAGTCGTGTCGTATGGCATGGGATCTGTTGACTGAAGTCTTCAAATTAGATGTCAACCGATTGGTTGTCACATACTTTGGTGGAGACAAACACTTGGGTTTGGAACCAGACTTCGAAACCCGTGATATTTGGCTTCAAATTGGGTAACAATTTGTTTATTAGTTGAAGAGATTGTAAATGAATTGAATCTAAACCACAGATTACCTGAAGACCGAGTCATACCTTTGGGATCAAAGGAGAACTTCTGGGAAATGGGGGAAACGGGTCCGTGCGGTATATGCACTGAAATACACTACTTATTAGAGCCCACGATATCGTCAAACTCAGAGCACTTAATGAGAAATTGTATTGAGATCTGGAATATTGTTTTCATTCAATTCAATAAGTGATTTATATTACAAGAGATGCTTTAAACTAAAACTAAACCAGTTTTGTGTTTAGAAATTCAAACGGAAGACTAGAAACACTTCATAAGCATTTCGTTGACACCGGAATGGGTTTAGAAAGGATTGTATCAGTGGTTCAAAATGTCAAATCCAATTACGAGACCGACCTCTTCCTGCCTTACTTTCAATGCATACAAAATGTATTTAAACACTGATTTTCTGATTCATATGTTTTACAAATTATTGTTTTATGTGTCATTAGAATAGTCGCAGCAAACCGTATGGTCATCAGACTGACGATCCACTGGACATATCGTATCGCATTCTCGCAGATCACTCACGAATGTTCACAATAGCTATTAGTGATGGCCTTAAGACCGGTTATAGGGGAACGGGATTTATATTAAGGAAAATTATTAGGAAATCTATTGGAATCGCTGCCAATGATTTCGGTATTTCTAGTCCGCGTCAGCTTTTGACTCAACTTTCGGCCATAACTG